CTTCTTGACTAGTCTGGAAGGAACTATTGTGTTAAATGCAGAGCTGTAATCAATGAATAGCATTCTGACGTATGTGTCTTTATCATCCAAATGAGCCAGGGAAATAGCCTCATCAGTATTGTGCAATAGACAGACTCTCATTACTCAGCACTATACGCAATCAAGGTTAAGGGTTATGCTGCTTTCTTTCTGTGGTGGGGATCTGATACATCATTCACCGCCAACGAACAGGAGCTAAAATCTGATGGCCAAGCTGCTATATCTTTATGTTGCCCTTGTGTCCTCATCAGCGCTGCTGCTGTCTGTCTCCTGAATGTCTTGGCACTGCTTTGACTTTTTTGCCTTTTTCTGCGTCTCTGTGGCTTCCTATGTCCCTCTTTCTCTCTGCGTCTGCCGGTGTCACCCGCCCACCCCTGCTCTGTTCAGCTCTGCGTTCCAAGCGCGCCCGGGGGCGGCGCCACCCTGCCAGTAGCCGCCCGGGGTCCAGGGTTCGACTGGGGCTGTCGGCGCGCTCTTTCTCCCTCTCCTCCTCCTCCTCGCAAGCACGTAAGGGCTCTGCTTTCTGGTCTACTTGCCCACTCAACCCCACGCCCACCCGAACACTGGCCACTCCTGTCTGCCCAGCGAGAGAAACCTGCGCTGTCTGAAGTTCAGGGTGAAGTTGTAGTGAAAAAAAGAAGAGGAAAATTCAGGGAGTGGTTTATCAATATCACACCAGGCGCGCTCTGATGGATATAGACGTCACCTAAAAGGAGTGTTTATTTTAATCTTGCTTGTTGCATAAAACACAACCACTCCTCCTACTGACTCATTTTTTCCTCTGAAAACGTGCACTAGCTGTTCAGAATGTCAACAGATTACTGTATAATAATACAGACATCACTCTAGATTACACACGACTCACAAATTGGGTTTACAAAACACGTGGGCTCCTTCTTTAATAAACTGCACTGAAGCCATTTAATACATTAACTGAAAATGAACAGTGCATTTTAATCTGTTTTTCAACGCTTGACCATTATAGCCGCGAGATATATCATGTTTATTATTTCCCAGTAGAGAGAGCCTCGAGTTATAAACTTCACATATGCATAATTTACCATCTATATAACTGTCTCTTTATATGTCTGTAAAAGAATAGAAGCCAGATTTTATATGGTTAAGGAAGTCTACCGTCTTATCCATACATATCAGGCTGCAACAGAACAGTCTGGGTTCTAAGCTTTGTAATGCAAGATTGTCCAGTGCTCTTCTTGAAGAGCCCTGGGGTCTTCTTATTTTCATACAAACACGTATTCAAGTTCAAGTTCAGGTTTATTTTGTCAGTCCAGCCATATACAAGTATACAGAGGAGCGAGATATCGTTCTCCAGGTCTACAGTGCCAATACAGACAGACACTGACACGATTCATATCGTTGATCAGTTTTCTTATCGCTACTGAGGACACTAATGATTGAAATCAATTGAGCCGAGCCATTTGAAGAACTGCTTTGGGAATATAGAGAAGCAATTCAGCACACAGAGTAATGAGTCAAGAGATCATATTCCCGTGAACAATGGCAGTAAATCCATTTTGCAGCCCCCTCCAGGTGCGTGTCTTCCACACCTGCAAGACAATGTAGACACAAAGTGTGGACAGGCTGAACTAGTGCAGGACGCTCTGAGGAGAACTGTCCTTCCTCTCAAGAACGCAGCCCTCACAGGCCCGTTTCAGCAGTTACCAGATGCTACTGCT